CATAAGAAGTTTTGATGCAATGCAAAAGACCAACTCCTTCGAATTTGCAAAAATTGCCAATAGTGAATAAATCTACCCCAATATTATGAAAAAGATTGGGTTACATCTATGCGACAACGCTCGCTGGTTGGGTTGTAATTAACAGTCAGGGTGGGCATACGATATAAAAATAATTTTCGATGATACATTTATTTTGAAACATCGGCTTGTAACGCACTATCACTATGATCACATTTTTGGGCATATTTATTTAAATTTGTGTTTCTTATGAAATTCAATAAATGGTATATCATACCATGTTTCTCAACTGTATTTATTGACAATTGGAGCATGATAGTACCAAAATTGACACACATATGAGTCATTTCATACATGCACAATTATAGGATATGTTTAGTGTATAGATCCCTTACCATGGTAAATATACACGGATCTATCTTTCAATCTTGGGCAAAATCATTCATCATTTTAGGGAAAATATATACCAAAATATTTGATCTGACTGAATATCTAGCAAAAAGATGTGGACCAGTTATATGTGGGTTGAACTGGTTGCAGAACCTGATGTCGCCAGCAGGTTTAGAGATGAACAACTCAGCAGTACAGAGGAAGGCCAGTCTGAAGAGAAATAATGCAGTCGGCTGCTCTAATTAATAGTTTGATATTAAAATCCCTCGAAACATAAATAAACTGCTCCGAATTTAAGCCAGGTTTTTTTTCTCCTTCTGCCTAGAACCTGGAGCTTTGTTGTGTATGGTGCACAGACAGATGTGACGAACGCGCAAATTGATGCATGTTAAAAGGTTAAGTCAGTTACATTACTTAATTGATATAATACAAAACATTCATCTTTAATATATATATTTTATTTATGTAAACATTTAAGCTATTTACATGAAAATATATTAATTCAAAATGTATATGCAGTTGCTGTCAGAAAAAAAAACTTTACTCGGATCCTTCTTGTTTACCGGACAATAACTTTACCGGGCAAAATCTATTTTTGTCAAATGAGTCTTTATTTTTTGCTTCGATTAAAAAATCACCCGGTCTGAATCGTACACACGCTTTCTATTTCAAAGTAAATAACAAAACCACTCTCAATTAAATATTGTTGATTCAGTTCTTTATATACTAACATACTCTTTTTTACTAGTTATTTCATGATCTGGTCATGCGGGGGAATAATCAGTTCTTGGAATGCCCGAATATTGAGGCCGTTAATTGGTTAGTTTAAATATGTTTTACTATTATATCTTCTCAATGTTATCGCATAAGACAATCGTTGTCAATTTTAATGTTAAAAGTAATTTTAAATTAAGTTCAAACAGTATCTCGTTGTTGTCTTTTACAAAGAAATGCAAAATTAAAAAAAAAACATATCAGGAAACGGGTAACACCCATGGGAGGTAATTCTACATGAAATATACATTTGTAAATATAATAGATTGTATTGCTTTTGAAACATGCTACATGATGACCAAAAGGAAACTGTATGACAAAGAACAGAATTCCATTTGAATATCAAAATGTTTCAAACTTTTAGGATTATGAAGAATCAATACGTTAATTGAGTTAAAAGTGTTAATTTCAATTACACCCCTATATTGGCCTCTTCGTAACAAGCATTGCTGCCGTGTCTATTTTACTGGCATACTTGGTTTTTCCGATATCTTAACCATGCCATTGAATAGTCGTAGTTTCCTTGCTGATTATTTAAAGATTAATTTCAATTCACGACTTTTTGAAACACAATGTCCGGTTAATTGAGTTGTCTTCACGAATTTTTTTCCTGTTATAATTCCCTACTTTAAAGACACATTTCTACGGTCAAATGTTTAATTTCATATTTGATAAAGGAACATTTACGTGTATTAAGAACCCAAAATTATTTGGGTAAAATTCGATTCTTTTTCATTATTTTAAATAAAAGTTACAACGAGAAAACATAATATTTTTCCGGTAATATGTAGGATCCCAGTATTATCATTTAATGTACAAAGATAACAAACCTTAATAATATAACATGAAATGATTGAATATCTAACACAAGTAAGAGATTTGACAATCAGTGGCTTAGACAGTCTGATACAAGCGGAGGCTTAGAGAGTCTAATACAAACAAGAGTTTTAATAATCTGATAAAAGAAATCAGAGGTTAAGATCGTTTGATAAAACGACAGCTTTGATAATCTGACAAGTACAATGTCTTAGAAGTCTGGCAAAAGGGAGAGCTTTATAAATCAGACAAATACGGTGATTTGATAGTCTGACACTCGGGGAGCTTTGATAATTTGTCAATTATAGAGGCTTAGACAGTTTGACAAGAGAGAGCTAAGATAATCTGACAAATACAGAGGCTTAGACAGTTTGACAAGAGAGAGCTAAGATAATCTGACCAATACAGAGGCTTAGACATTTTGACAAGAGAGAGCTAAGATAATCTGACAAATACAGAGGCTTAGACATTTTGACAAGAGAGAGTTAAGATAATCTGACAAATACAGAGGTTTAGACAGTTTGACAAGAGAGAGCTGAGATAACCGAACAAATACAGAGGCTTAGACATTTTGACAAGAGAGAGTTAAGATAATCTGACAAATACAGAGGCTTAGACAGTTTGACAAGAGAGAGCTGAGATAACCGAACAAATACAGAGGCTTAGACAGTTTAACAAGAGAGAGCTGAGATAACCGAACAAATACAGAGGCTTAGACAGTTTGACAAGAGAGAGCTGAGATAACCGAACAAATACAGAGGCTTAGACAGTTTAACAAGAGAGAGCTGAGATAACCGAACAAATACAGAGGCTTAGACATTTTGACAAGAGAGAGTTAAGATAATCTGACAAATACAGAGGTTTAGACAGTTTGACAAGAGAGAGCTGAGATAACCGAACAAATACAGAGGCTTAGACATTTTGACAAGAGAGAGTTAAGATAATCTGACAAATACAGAGGCTTAGACAGTTTGACAAGAGAGAGCTGAGATAACCGAACAAATACAGAGGCTTAGACAGTTTGACAAGAGAGAGCTAAGATAATCAGACAAATACAGAGGCTTAAGGCCTCAACAGACGGTAGGATTTTGAAGTACAACACCAATTAAAACTAAGATGTACAGACAAATCTTAATGTGTGAAGGCTACTATTTCTTGAATTCGGAAACCTAAAGTCAAGATTTAATGGATAGGACATGTTCTATTTTGAAAATCTTGTCGTACAGATTTTTACAGACCTCCCACAATGACAAGTAACAGATAACCAAATTATCTCCTGATAATGGGTGTAATGAATGAAATTTCAGAATAATTAGGGCTAAAAGGTAAACATAGTAGTAAGATTGGGTAAAAATGATGTTGAAAAACTCTTCAGGAGACCCAAAGTTGTGTTATGTTCGAATCCCAAATTATTCCGGAAATGATTATGTCACAGTATTGAATTGTTCTCTAATTAGGGGAGGGGAGGTAGTTTGTAGGCGGCCAGATAGCTTAGACAGTAGAGCCGCAGTACGGTACTCCGAGGGTCCCAGGTTGAGTCTCGGTGAGACTTCACATTAAAAAAAATATATATACTAGTAATATATATATATATATTAAAATGGAGGTGTTTCAATCATTACTCATGGCGAAAAAAAGTATTAAGTGAGTAAAGTATGTAAAGGATCAAGAAAAGGGGTCCTTTTTAGGGGAAACCTCAAATGATTCTTACAGTATAGAATTACCGTCTGAATGCAAGTGTTGTATATCTTTGAAAATTGTACATCTTATCTGTAATTAGTGCTGTACAAATAAATCCTACCGTCTGTTGAGGCCTTTAGACAGTTTGACAAGATAGAGCTAAGATAATATGGCAAATACAGAGGCTGAGACAATCTGACAAATGGAAGATAATTGATAAACTGAAAAACACAGAGGCTTAGACAAAAGGAAGATAATTGATAATCTGTCAACAACAGAGGGTAAGGCAGTCTGGCACAAGGGAGACCTTTGCTAAAATGACATATACAGAGACTTAGACAGTCTGACAAAAGGAAGATAATTGATAATCTGACAAATACAGAAGCTTAGACAGGCTGACACAAGGGATAGCTTAAAGATTCTGATAAATGCAATCATAGGCTTAGACAGCCTACATATAAAAGAACTCTGATAATGTGATCTATTATATGAGATTGTCATGTCATTGTATCTGTAATGAAAATAAGTTAGTAATTAAGTAAGTAAACATTTTATCAATGCGTAATATGTTAAGATAAAACTATGGATGTATATATAATGAATTAACATCAGCATACATTCTGTCAAATGGTCCTATAAGACACAATGATTATGAAAACAATTATTTTTTAAACATATGAGAAACGTAAAACAGGTGAATAATTATTTAGTAGTAGTAGTAGTGGTAGTAGTGTTGGTGGTAGTGGTGGTGGTAGTAGTGGTGGTGGTGGTGGTGGTAGTAGTAGTAGTAGTAGTAGTGGTGTTGGTGGTGGTAGTGGTGGATGTAGTGGTGGTGGTGGTGGTAGTAGTAGTAGTAGTAGTAGAAGCAGTAGCAGCACCAGCAGCACCAGCAGCACCAGCAGCACCAGCAGCAGTAGTAGTAGACAATACATTAACAAGTACGTACAATTAAAAACGTTCAAATTTTCTATCCACATATATGATAATCTGCATTTGAAACTTTAAAAAAGGTAAGTTTCTACCTTTATATTAACCTTTAACCTCGTGTAACCTTAGTGAGTGGGGTTGGAAACTTCAGTTCAGGTAATAGTTTCATGTAACTCATTACGAAATCTTAGCCAATGTTGTTGTTATTTACCAACTGACAATGACATTCATTTATATATACATGTACCAATGTATCAATGATCAATGATTCATTACAATTGCCTATATGTATATATACACGTGTACATTCACACATTATCAGATCAAATGTGCACTTCTAAAATGTCTTGATTTTTCGTTTATATAATATTTTGTTTGATTGTGCATTTGATTGATTTTCTTTATTCTTTTTTTTTTCGTTTTTGCTAAATTTTCTGAATTTTAATGGAATTCCCCTCATCTATTTTGCTGTTTTCTGTGACATCTGAGTCTAGCTTGCACTCTGTTGTTTCAACACACGGAGATTGTGCGTCATCTGAGGCTAGCTTGTACTCTGTTGTTACAACACACGGAGGTTGTGCGTCATCTGGGGCTAGCTTGTACTCTGTTGTTTCAACACACGGGGGTTGTGCATCATCTGGGGCTAGCTTGTACTCTGTTGTTTCAACACACGGAGGTTGTGCGTCATCTGAGGCTAGCTTGCACTCCGTTGTTTCAACGCACGGAGATTGTGCGTCATCTGATGCTAGCTTGTACTCTGTTGTTTCTACACACGGAGATTCTGCGTCATCTGAGGCTAGCTTGTACTCTGTTGTGACAACACACGGAGATTCTGCGTCATCTGATGCTAGCTTGTACTCTGTTGCGTTCGCACTCAGAGGTTGTGCGTCATATACAACATTTACATTACCAAATCCATCAAAATTCCTATCTCCTTGTGTAACCCTGCTTTGTACCGAGCCAAATGTCGCACTGTAACGAGAATGCAGTAAAATAACATATTTCCTTTGAACATTTTCATATATGATAAGGGTTTTGTCATAAAACACTCTGATGAACATGACAGTATAAATGTTATTTAAAACTCAGTAATTTATATTACTGCTTAAATAAAATCAGATTTAAATGACAGTGGAATATGCAGTAATTACCAGATATTAAAAAAATGCAAGGAATAACTGCTTTTCTCGAAATTAGAATTATGTAATGAAACAAAACAACAACATTACTGTCAGAATATTGTGTTGCCTTTTTATGTCTTATTTCTCTGTTTATATTTTATTGATCTCGTTATATTACATAAATTTTGTTCTGCAGTCACTGCAATTATTCACAATGGACAGTGAACTTGGCCAGTGTCAGATACCATACCATGAGCAATGGTTGTCCGTTAAAAATGTGCCTTTTCCTTAAATAAACAGTTACCAACGACTAGGTACCTTTCCGGTAGGTCGTTGGACCCACCCAGGTGCCCGCTTGTGCCTGAAATGATGCACAAAGGGACACCTGAGGTCTTTTTCAACCTGTAAAGCTCGAAGGTCACAATATGATTGTCGTCGTGACATAAAATCAAACAAACTAAAACCATTGATTGCATTAACTATTTACCTGGATTTCCTGTATCGTAAGATTACAAGAACAACAATAAAAGCAATTAAAGCTGCTATTATAATCCCAATTACAATCCCAATTGCGTACCAAAGAGTCTCTGTCGGATTAGCTTTTTCACATAATTGTCCAGTAAATCCTTCGGCGCATGCGCATTCAAACATCCCAATACCATCGATGCATGTTCCGCCATTCTGGCAAACATTTCTTTCACATTCGTTGATATTTACTTCGCACAAATCTCCGGTTGTCCCATTTACACACCTGCAAGTAAAGCTCCCATCGTAGTTTACACACGTTGACCCGTACTTGCATGGAGAGCTCGTGCACTCGTCGACGTCATTTTGGCACAAAGTACCAGTAAACCCACTTGAACATTGGCATTGAAAGTCATTGATAAGGTCAGTGCATGTTCCATTGTTCATACAAGGAAGACTTGAGCACTCGTTCGTGTTTGTCTCGCAAAAACGTCCTAAAATATAAACAATTTATTAATCTGCGTCAAAGTCAAGTACCGTTGTTGTCGTGTAATGTTTGAATGATTCTCAAGTATTGGACAATTTTCAAATACTTACATGTATGTGTACATATACGAAGAGAAAATAGTATCGAATAAAATAAAAAATAGAAATGCAAAGGTGTTATAACGCGAACCAAACGGCGTATTTACGAGAAACAAAAGACGTAATAACGCCACAAAAGGCGCGGCTTATTTTTCGCATGAATACATGATGTCAAGATGAATAAAAATCGTTACAAACCATGAAATCCTTCTATGCACGTGCAAGTAAAGCTACCAGCATTATCAACACACGTGGCATTATTCTGGCACGGGTTATTCTGACATTCATTAATATTGACGTCGCAAAATTGTCCCGTCCAACCACTGTTACATGAACAAGAATAAGTTGTTTCCAGAGCAACACATGCTGAATTTTGACAAAGGTTATCTTTACAAAAATCAACTTCTTCAGTGCAATGCAGTCCTGTCCATTGCACTGGGCACGTGCAACTGATACTGGTAGTGAAATTAGTACATACGCCATTGTTTTTGCAGGGGGAAACTAAACATGCCTGTAAATCTTGTTCGCATCGGAACCCTATAAAAAATTAAGATGTAAGTCAAACAGGACTCACTAACTAAGTGTGTCTGACTTTTCATAGGTGGTGGCAATGTTTATATACAGCGGCTATGGAAAGACATGGCTGTCTGATATTGTTCTTTTTCAATTTATGTAATCATTTGGATAATATATAAGTTCACTTCGACTATTTTAACCGGAATCAATTATATTAATCCACAGTTACATGTATGAAACCATACCGTCAGTGTATGAAACCGAGTTAGCAATATATAAGTTGATTTTCTCAATATATGATTCCAATTCTTCAATATATGGTACCAAAGTAGCCATGTATGGAACCAGATGTCCTTATATGAAACCGAATTATCAATATATTAATACATACATTGTTACTTTGGTTCCATATATTGAATAATTGGTATCATATAAAGTGATAATCAAATTATATATTGATACTTCGGCTCCATACATTGATAAAATGGTTATATATATTGTAAAAATGAATTAATATATTGATAATTAGGTTTCATATAAAGAAATGTGAACTTAACCAGAGTATCCTAGTGGTAAAATGAATTCGAACCTTCATTTTTGCACATTTTCTTCCGAGTTTCCGCGAAAGAGTAACCCGAGAGCTAGATATTTTGTTCTTTGACGATAGCCGGTGTTTGATTCTTAACTTACATAAAGCATTTTAATTATCTTTCGGAAATAATCAAAACTAATATGTTCGTTTGGCACTTTTCACTTACAGTAGCGTAAAAATGTTATGGCCAAATGACGTCATTCTAAGAACGCAATTCATTCATAAATGACGTCAGTTAAAGCACGCGAGTTGTCTTACATTGGGATGTTTAACAGTTTTTTCTGGTTTTTCTAGCAACGCAAATAGGGTAGATAATTCTGTGTGTTTTACAAGAATATCCCATCTTCTATTTTTAGAAAGGAGCGTCAATGGTGCCAAATAAATAGCTCTCGAGACAATGTTTTTAAAAAGGCCTAACAATAATATGATTCGCTTTTTCAAGACAAAATTATTGAAAACAATATAGAATTCTTTTCCAACAAAAGGCCGCTTTAATATAGATAAATAATACAATCTTTTTGATAAAATTCAGTTTAAAATATATTTGTATCAAAATTGTAAACGGCACACATTAATAATCAAACATCTTACATCAAATTCCACTTATTGAAATTGTACACTACGGTACCAGAAAGTTACCTGTATATCGTTCTAGACAATTGCACGTGTATGACATGTACCCATCAATACAAGTACCACCATTCCGACATCCGTTACCTATACAGTCATCAATACTCCTGTCACAATCTTGACCCGTCCAACCTTCAGAAAAAAGTACAGTTGTAATTTCGTTAAATCTGATAAGATTATAATGAACAATAATCATAACTGGAATATGTAAGTCCTAAGCAATGACATGACTTATGGTTCACAATTTACACATCAATTCATGACATTGGAAAATGCAGCAAAAGAGGGTATCCTTACAGTTACGTGAAATTATTCAATCTGACAAACTTCTTCTTCCCTTTAATCTTTATGGATCTTTTTTCTGGATACTTCGTATTCCCCTTTACATGTATTAAACTAGATATGAGTGTCAGCATAAAGTGAATGTTAGTATAACATGTATCGAGTAAGGCCAGCTTTCATATCCCTCTGTCCAGACACCATGCAGTTATCTTGTATTGGAAGTCTTGGAATAGAAGTCTCCTTAACAACGGTAAGTACGAACTGCATATATTATGTGTAACACCACGTGGATTTAATGAATTAAATCAGTGTGCTTGATGTCTTTAATTTAGTCTTTAGATACTCATTATTTCCACTTGAAATGTATACAAACGACTAACATATGATACATTAATATAATCAAGATACATTCAAGTTAAAAAGTTTGATAAATCACATACCCGTGTCGCTTTTGCGACTTCGTAAAATAGTATTGCATGACAATGCTAAATGTTAGCGTTATAGTAGGACGGGAATTGATAAAATATTGCAAATGGTGATACAAGCATGAAACTTTCAGGAAATCATTTTTAGACCTAGGAGATTTCAAAAGTTAAGTGAGCCTAAAATATCTCTGCACAAAATGGCCGCCGTTTTCAAAATGGCCGCCGTTTTCAAAATGGCCGCCATATGAATATGACATACATTCTGTAGATCATTCAGTCAAATGTTCTGTACAGACCTGAAACTTACACCAAAGCATGTATAAAGTTTTTTCTTTACAGAAATTTTAATCCGCAACTACGCTGTCATACCTCTTTAAAATCCAAAATGGCGTCCAATATGGCCGCCGAATTTATGCAAAACTGTTATATAAATTTTATAGTGTAGTTTGTAACACAAATTATGCTTGTCAGTAAAACAAGTGTTTAAACATATCACAAATAATTAAATTATATATTAACCAATATTAGTCAAGCATTTTAAGTTCTTTTTTTGCCAAAAATATCTTTAAGCATATCAAGAAAAAATCCATATGTTTGTATATTTCTCTAATTTGTTTCTTTTAATATATATACAAAATTTTAAAAAATCTTTAATTTAATTAAATTAATTGACATGTAATTAACACTATGTGTTTATTGTAGAAATGTAAGAAAAACATAAAATCTTTAGGGTTTATATTTTGTCGAAGCGGTTGTGGTAGATTTATCCCATGATTATAAAAGAAAAACAACAACATTTATAGAGGTAATTAAGTTAATTCTATTTCATTGCTTTTTATTTACTTTTCTATGAATTTTTATGTTCCCGATAAAAAATATTCTTTATTGGATAAAGGTATATTTGTCTTCCTTCGGGTCAAGTAGGTGAGCTAAAATATAAATAAATGCACATACAATGATATTTATACATTCAGTTATTAAATCGGTTTCGTGATATTACTTGTTTCAATATCTTATTTTATTATATGATATTATTTCGTAATTGTTATTTATTTAGATATGAAAGAAGACAATAATTCAACAAAACGTGCTTTAAATAGCAAATATTACGCGAATGGAAGGTATTAAGGATGTACATTAGTTTAGCATTTTATTAACTTCTTCACACTTTTATTTTGAAAATAGAAACATAACTTTAAAGCTATTACAATGAGATAATAAATTTGGAATTATATATCTAAATATACATAGTAAAATAAGGCTACATTTATGTAAAAGAAATGTGCAAAAATGACACTATTTCTTTAATATCTTTAAAAATATCATTATTTTGGCAAAAACAAAACAAAACAAAAAGAAAACAAAAATAAACCAAAAAAAACAAAAACAAAATGAAAGCGTAATTTTTAATGAATTAGATTCTTGAAAAGGAGAAATTTATACATGTTTTAGTGAAAGTTTCAGGTCTATACAAAAAAAAATGATTGAATGAAATATTATGTACGTCTTTATTTTGCGGCCATATTGAAACTGGCCGTCATTTTTAATGAGCAGAGATATTTTTTACCCACTTCTGTTTTGAAATCTGCATTGTCTAAAGATAATGTCCTGAAAGTTTGTTGCTTAAATAATCATTTGCACTTTTTGACAGCAGAGACCTTATTTCCCGTCCAACTATTAGACCTACACTATAGGCGCGTCAATGATTTCTTTTCTCTATAAACAGTCGTAAAGTTGGGTATGTGACAATTAGAATATTATATCTAGCTTAATTAATGAATTCATTGAACTTGTTGAATATAATAATATTTTTATGCTCCCCAAAGGGCTAACATAATATAATTTTTTTCAACTCGTTTAACAATCTGATTAGAATCAGCTCTAAATAACGCTCCGCTTTTAGATCTGAGCGGGACCAAATACGAAATCAATTCTGGTGACTATTCACACAGCCAATCATTGGCGAGCTTGAAATCATAATTTTTAAAGCGATGTGGTTTCTAATTGAACAAACGTGGCGTTGTCCATATAGCCGACAGGTGAACTGGCAAAACAATCTTGTCCACTAAATAATGGATTTTTCAAGTAATTTGTAAAAATAATTACTTCAAACATTTTTTCTTTATAACGAAAAACAACAATTTGTTAAATTTCCACGCATAACGGTATTTTGATACTTCTTCTAATGACTACGTAAAACCGGTTTGATTGCATGGCTAAGTATAGCTTTCCCGGGAAATCCGAATTATAAAGATGGCGAAAAATATACCGTCATCATCATATCAACATAACAGAAATAAGTAGATTTGAACTTTAGTCAGATTGCTCGTTTGATAAATTCATGTCAATAAATCGGAACGTCCTCGGCTATTATCTATATCCGAAGACTGACATAATGGCCGAAAAGTTGCGATTGATTATTATCTTTATCCGAAGACTGACATAATGGCCGAAAAGTTGCGATTGATTCAATTCAAGATGATTATGAACGAACCGCGTTAAAATGACGTCATTTCGGTACATTTAAGAATTAAACTGCGTGCCTGGGATGACGACATTTGGCCGTTATGATTGAAATTATTATTCATAATATGCTAAATTGTACGAAGATAGTTATGGATGAAACGACATTAATTGACATGAACAATTGTTTTATTGAAGCATTAAAGCATTTAAAATTTGACAGAATAGGGTAGAATATGCAAGATAAAAATCTGACATATATGACGGTCCATATGGGAAAATCCGTCCGTCGGATACCCGCCAATGGGCGGAAACTCGACAAGCCTTGTTACCGCCAAATGGGTGGATACCCTCGGGACAGACATTCCGATCCGAACCACAACATATTATAAATTAGCAGTTCTTATAGATTCAATAACCGTTCCATGACTGTACATAGTGACTGAAGAAGTCTCCTCTCTAAAGTGTTAACACAGTTTTCTGTACTAGTAATACTGTGCTAAGAGCCCACCCCTCCCCATTTTTAATTTCAGGAAGTAAATCTATTTTTTCCCTTTCTACTCTGTACTTGTATCTGGGAAGACGTCTCTCCATCTTGAATATAACTTATATAGAAAGTATGTTCTCTTAATTTATTTCCTTCTCCACTCTAGCCATTGTCATTATAATATAAAAATTGAGGATTGTACCGGTATATAAAGTGATTAACCAATACCACAATAAATCTATGGACAAAGTAGATCAATTGCTCTTGGCACGACCATCTTTCCTCATACGACACCTGTTATCTTGTTAATTCCTGGAAGCGGACTTTAAATGAATTAATCATGTGAATGTAAGTTTCAAGAACTTTTTTCGAAATTGAGCTAAGAATAAGAACATATTTTTTGTTATTATTACTGTAGACTGATGAAGAAACGGACAAAGATATAGGACCCAGAGGACGGAAATATTATATGTAAAATTCATCATCATTGTTTACCTGCTGTACACAATTTCTCTCCGGTCTTATTGTGACATGTATAGTGTCCTCTGTAATCGTCTTTTGGTTGACAGAATACCGAACAATCGCCATAATACGCTAGGTCACAATATACTTTGAATGTCAGAGATAAACTGTAATAATGCAGATTAATAAAAATTATGAATCATTAAATATTATTATATAGATATATAAGTATTCATCCATCATTTATGAATTTTAGATTTTGACAGCTATATTTCAGTTTCTAAAATAACTAATCGAAGTTAAGTATATTGAAATTCTTTTTGTTTAAATACGTACAGTTATATAATAAAAGGATAATTATGTTGTAGCAGCGTCGAATTAAAATTAGTATATCGCTAGTTTGCACCTGCTCCTAGCAAAATAAAAAGCCTGACATTATATTCCGTATTAACCCTCAGGGACATGTACGTTCATTTTATAATATGCCATACCATGCCATGTCTATTTAGCTTTTCTATGTCTAGATTCTATCTAAGTAGTCTGTCACACCAAGTGTCTGTTTTAGTTTTCTTTGTACCCGAGCGTAAGTATTTGTAGTTTTAGGAATAGTTAAATATGTCATAATGTGTTGTAGGTGCGTTAACAATTAAATCATTTTTTTCTTTTACACATAAATGACTTTTAAAGGAATATTATTTTAAAAACTTTATACGCGTTATGTCATAACATCTAAGATTTTACCTCGTTCGATTATGTATTGTAACATTTTTTTCTCCAGCGGTCGATCTAGAACTTGACGGTGTCTGCTCTATGAATATCTGGTGGAAACTTACAAAGTCGTTTTCTTTCAGAGGATCAAAGTCTTCTACCAGAACCTTCAGTTTCATTGATCCCTTGTAAATAAAAAAGTAGCTTCGTTAACTATAAAAATGCAATTTAAATATCAACTTTTTTTCAAAGAGTATTGTACCCTCAAACAGAGTGAATATAGATCTAGTTGCTTAAAATAAAACGCTGGAATTTATTAACAACTTCTCTAATCCGCTTAATATAAGAGTTTTCTTCATCGAGTCCTTCAACTGCATTCAGTACAATTTAGATCTACTGAATTAATAATTACTAAAATTATTTTTAAATGTTATTTAATTAAATCTATCACCATTTTGAGGTGTGTTTTTATTCATTCGTGTGTATTTTTTTCTACCAGTAGCCTGTATATATTTATGTATCTTTTAAACCTTTAAATATCTTACCGGCCATTTTGAGAATGAGAATACCATGGGGTTGTCAGTCTCACCGATACTACTATTGAACGTGATCGTGTTGCTATTTTCAATTTCTCCTGTCTGAATAGAGCCATACTCACATGATGACGTGCTGGATGGTCTGTTACGTCAAATATAACGTAATTATGTTTCATAAAATGGCAAAAGAATGGAAAAGGTTATTAAAGTGACTTTATGCCCATCCAAGTGTATAAATGATTGAACATGTGGAAGTCAAAATAAATTTTTATTTTGCCATAATTCCTTTTAATATGAAAATTCATTTCACATTTACAATAAACAACGCACGGATCCAAATAATTTTTTTTGTAGATATCCATTAGAATTAACCTGAAACCGTTCAATTCATAAAAAGAATGGTGTAGTCTTTTTATATTTTAGGCAGATTTTAATTATATTGTAAACATTTTTTAATTTAAACATATGTTTCCCAACGGATTTGGTTACACGTGCTTTCTTCGGGGGTGGAGACGACGTGTGCTTCCAAACTGAACCGTTCAATTTATAAAAAGAATGGGACAGTCTTTTTATATTTTAGGCAGATTTTAATTATATTGTAAACATTTTTTAATTTAAAGAATAGATTAGCAACAGTATTATTGAGTGACATATCAAAGATTAAAAAACGTGTAGCACTACAAGAACTGGATTAGCACTATAAATAGTTTTTTAAAATTTACAAAATAGATCTAAATGTTTTAGATGTATTCTAAAAGAAATAGATCTAAAAGCAATAAAAATGATTCAAATTGGATTTCATAAGAGCCCGAAATTCATAATAATGTGTATTTTTATATTCAGGGGGCCAAAACTCAATTTTTAATTTCTGCTAGAGATAAATTAATATTACATACCCATTGCGGTCATCTAAGCACAATATAAAAACATGATCACAAGCGCCTTCGCACAGGAAATTAAATAATGCATCGCAACAACCACGATTATCACCAACGTTTCCATCCGCGTTTTTAAACGAGTTTAGATAAATCTCCACTGCCCCGCCACATTGTATTGTCTTCAAGCATAAAGAAACAAGAAATTACTTTAATAAAGGTACTCGTCCGGAGTCAAAATGGTTAACTTGAAAATGTTATTTTTAGGTTTTCATATAAACTTAAAGGATAGTGAACGTTATTGGTGGTCTCGTTATTTGATCGAAATTTATAACTAAGAAAGTTATTGTATATACTAAAATTAGTAAGTTCTTATGTAAAATAAACTGTCCACTAGAAAACATAATGAGACCTTAACACAGTGTAAAATGTTTTGTGGGAAGTGAAGACGTATGCAGACTTGTTCCAACTTTTTTCATCTTTTCCTACGTTTCCTTAATGTTTTGTTGGCCTTTCAACATTTCCCTGCGTTTGTTGAAAAAAGCCCTAGTTTCCCTACTTTTCTGAAAACATAATTCATTGTTTTAAGTAATCTTGTGTTATTTAATCTTTGTGATTTATTGTGTACTTTCATCTTAATAATATTACAGTTGTAGACTGTATATTTGAATGTTATATAAGGAAGTGTAGACTTAGAGGGTGTTTCATGGTGGTGACATGCAGCAAGTTGTTTGAATTCTTCTGGCAAATTTCATATCAGTAAAATGTAAATTGACAACAAAAAGTTTAGTCTTCATAATTTTATTTTTGTTTTAATGAAATAGACATCTGTACATTGCAAATAGCTATGTTTCCCAATTATACTTATATTGCTAAGGGACCACTTATCAAACCAATATAGTATGGACATGGTAAGTGACACAGAACATTGCTCAGATAATTTGCATAAAAATCTTCAACTAATAAATTTTTATACAGTGTAGCTGTGTACTTTTCAAAATCTTCAATATAAAAATTTTAGATAAATTATTTACAGATTTAACGTGAATATCATAGTGATATTAAGGGTGTTTCAGGTTGTCCATGATTGATACACAACTTATTTCTTTGGCAATGATGGACTCAATGTGTATGAGACATTTTTGACTTTATTAAATGAACATGTCTAAGAGTTAGGCTTTACAGGGATTGTTAGCTTCATGGCCTGTCTCATTTACATTGTTCACAATGCATTTAGAAAACGTCTAATTACTTATGGTGAAGAGGCAAAAGAGCTGAGTATTGATGTATTTCAATGGTTTATGTCACATCCACGGAAAGAAGACTTTGCCTCCACTCTTGAAAAATTTGGCATTGAATCTTGATGTGTTCATACGACATGTGCAAAGCCGTTGGCTAACTTTACTACCATGTCTGCAGAGAGTTAAGGAAAACTGGGGAGCTTTGTATCAGTACTTTCTTAAAGATCTCAAAGTCAGAAAGATGGATCACACAAACATAAGAAAGTGAATGAGAGATACAAGATGATTTGCGAGGAGCTGAAATCAAAGGAGACATTTGCACAGATCAATTTTCTGTTAACTCTGTCACCAATATTTGATGAATTCTTAACACACTTTCAGACACAAAACCTCTCATTCACATCCTTTACACTGAATCACTGGCCTTGTTGAAAAATACCCTGTTGAAATTCATGAACTTTGTTGTAGTGTCGTGTAAATTTGAATATTGATTTGAAATAGCAGGAAGATACTGTTCCTTTGAATAATATGGACTTTGGGGCTCAAGCTAACCAAACATTATCAGAAATGGAACGTTCTAGACAGAAAATGGTGAGAATATACATGCAGAAAATTTACCAGGATGTCATAAAAAAGCTTCCTCGGGAGGATAATGTTGTAAAGAATCCCAAATGTTTACCAAAGACCTGCACAAAAAAGGATATCAAGATTGACAATGGCCTAAACCAACATCACGACTGATGACGTGACAAGAGTTTCTAATGATTGGAAAGTATACAGTGAAGAGGACGTTGAAAAATCAGTAATATACAATGATGATGAAAGTTTAAGATGGGTTGGTCAGTACTAGAATGGCATTAAAGCTAGAAAGACAACAGCAGGATCAAGGAAATTCCTAACTTTAAAGAAAGTGGTGAAATCAGCACTATGTATATTTTATAGCAACTCATATATTGAATGTTGTCTCATAGTAAACAAGAAGGTATTGACTCCTAAGAGAACTCTTATGTCTGATGAGGCCCTGAATTGCAATTGTACGAGGGTTGTCCAAAAAATTCGTGCACTGCAGTTATTGTCGTAAGAGTTATTTTTAAAAATACATGAACTATATAACACTTCAAGCGGAAATCTGTCTCAAATACGAAAACAAAAGAAAAAGCCATGTAACCAACGTGTCGTGAAAACGAATGGTCATACAGTTACCTTAGTAACGTCATACCAGCGCCCGACAAAAAATTGGGTTAGCTAATTACTGTGATTGTATTAATTTTTTGTTGGATGTAAAGTAGCATTTGCTTTTTATGTCATAATTTGTTTAACTGTCGATAGAGGAATGAGTGATGCAAAGTATTTTGTAATTTTTATTGTTTCTATGCAACGTACATGTAACATATTCTACTAGTGCACAAATATATTGGACAACCCTCGTTACATGCGCCAGCATTACGGACGGACGTCTGCCCGACCAGTTGTCATCATCTACCGACTCTCGCCCCTCTACAAAGCGTTTGTGGCATTTAAAAAACCAGCCTTCGTGACACTGAACTGGTCCCGCTTGCCGTTTTAAGTTCTTTGTAGGTATCTGTCTGTGTTTTACCAAAAGTTGTGCAAAATTTAATGATCGTCCGTATTTCCAGACGTTAAGCGACTGACATTTTAACGTAATGACAGTATTGACGACCACACATAATTGTTTGTTTACGACCGTTACAATAGAGCAAATAACTTTATATTTTCTAGTGACGTCAGAGATACGTACACACACTTTTCCATGAATTTTGACGTTTATATGAAGTGTTTAAAGGATACTGTGATGCATCAAAGTAACCCAATTTTTTGTCGTGCGCCGGTATAACGTTACCAAGGTAACTGTATGACGATTCGTTTTCACGACAGGTCGGTTACATAGCTTTTTCTTATGTTTTCTTATTTGAGATAGATTTCCCCTTCAAGTGATATATTATTCATGTTTTTTTATCAATAACTGTCACGACAACAACAGCAGTGCACGAATTTTTTGGACAACCCTTGTACAAGAGATGCAGAAACCATCGATGGTGAAAATGTAAACAGTGTCTCACTTACTGGTGTAATGCGTCAGTATGCACGTAATTCATTCATAAACATATAAGCAAAGACTTCAGGAAGAGAAAATTGAAATGGAACTATTAAAGCAAAAAGAAGTGTCAAAGGCAAAGAGAGAATGATGATTGTCTGGAGAAGGTTAAGGAAAATGAGAAGCGAAAGACAAAAATTGCTGAGAAGGAAAGGAATGTTAAGTAAACTGAAAAGAACTGGATGAGGACATCTTGAATGCAAAAGTTAGGCTTAAAGATGATAATACCAGACTGGCAAAAGGAAAAATTGACAAAAATGTCACTGAAATCAGTCCTCAAAGTATGTTAGAAGTTGCAAAATAGAACCTAGACGGAGCTAGATCTGCTTTTGAGAACTGCAAAGTCCAAACAGATGACACCGGAGATTGCTGAAAGTCTGTCGAAACTTAAATAATTAACTTTGTCACGTAACAATGTCGTGTAGGAGTTGCGTGCGTTGAACGCCGCCTTTCCTTGTTGATCTTGTTTGTCATATTTTATTGGTCTAAACTGGGTCCTTAGACAAGCCCACAAACAGTCGCTCCACTTCAAAATTGTGGTGTACGGTAAAACGAGCGAACGGCATTTCCGAGATAGAGCGGAAGGCCGATTTAAACGGATAATGTCTATTGTAAAATTTAAAATCTCACTCTTTTGAAGTTAATTAACCCATGTGATCATAGAAGGAAATTCACATGTTTGTTTTGAAATAATCCTTAAAAGCAAATACTGTTAGATTTCTAAGTGAAATACAATCCGCATTTACATGATGAAAAATAATATTGCTACCTATGAGACTTTGTTATATGCTATATATAAATATATAATGTCAGATAACTTATCTTACACTAATGAATAACACAGGTGATTTTTACCATTGTAAAGATAAGAAAAAACCTTACTATCAATACTTTTTTCTTCTAAAACCCCTTCTTAAGTTTTACTTTCTTTCAAACAGAATGGCCCTAATTTTACCCTACTTTTTCAACTGGAGTCATTTGACAGTATGGTTATATCTCAGCCATTTAACTAGAAAGTTAAGGAACTATCCTGTACATTTTAATTTAGAATTATCCTTTACATTTTACTTTATAATGGCAAGAACTTTCCTATTCATTTTTTTAAGAACTATACTTTATATTTTACTTTACATTTTATTTCATAATGGCAAAAACTTTCCTATACATGTTATTTAAGAACTATCCTGAACATTCTAGTTTTTACTTAGATTCCTAGATTCCAATTTGTAATTTAAAGTCACCGATGAAAATTCGCCTTATATTCAGTTCTTTCCTGTAACTCAATTTAAAAATATGCTCTCTTAAAGAATAAAGTGAAATACCCACTTTGGT